AAACTGCGTACTCCATTTAAAATGTGAATTTTTTGCCGATTTTGCAAATTTTCATGATGTAACCCCTTTCCTTTTTTCCGAAAAATGGGAATTTTCTGAAAAATTTTTTTCGGCCGGATAAAGCTAGAAAGAAAGGCCTGTAGATGCTGATCAAGAATATATATGATTTATGGGGTCGGAAATGGCTCCTTCACTTTCTTTTAAGCTTCTGACTGAAGGTCCATTACCATTTTTATACCGAAATTAACAATATTTTTATATGAAATTTTTCCACAAATCAAAATGTAAAAATCTCATAACTCAGCCAAAAACGCATTAATTTCTATTTGGAAAGCGGCAGTATGTTAATTTTTAGCAGGTTAACAAAACTGCGTACTCCATTTAAAATGTGAATTTTTGGCCGATTTTTGCAAATTTTCATGATGTAACCCTTTCCTTTTTTCCGAAAAACGGGAATTTTCTGAAAAAATTTTTTTCGGCCGGATAAAGCTAGAAAGAAAGGCCTGTAGATGCTGATCAAGAATATATATGATTTATGGGGTCGGAAATGGCTCCTTCACTTTCTTTTAAGCTTCTGACTGAAGGTCCATTACCATATTTATACCGAAATTAACAATATTTTTATATGAAATTTTTCGACAAATCAAAATGTAAAAATCTCATAACTCAGCCAAAAACGCATTAATTTCAATTCGGAAAGCGGCAGTATGTTAATTTTTAGCAGGTTAACAAAACTGCGTACTCCATTTAAAATGTGAATTTTTGGCCGATTTTTGCAAATTTTCATGATGTAACCCCTTTCCTTTTTTCCGAAAAATGGGAATTTTCTGAAAAAATTTTTTTCGGCCGGATAAAGCTAGAAAGAAAGGCCTGTAGATGCTGATCAAGAATATATATGATTTATGGGGTCGGAAATGGCTCCTTCACTTTCTTTTAAGCTTCTGACTGAAGGTCCATTACCATATTTATACCGAAATTAACAATATTTTTATATGAAATTTTTCGACAAATCAAAATGTAAAAATCTCATAACTCAGCCAAAAACGCATTAATTTCAATTCGGAAAGCGGCAGTATGTTAATTTTTAGCAGGTTAACAAAACTGCGTACTCCATTTAAAATGTGAATTTTTGGCCGATTTTTGCAAATTTTCATGATGTAACCCCTTTCCTTTTTTCCGAAAAATGGGAATTTTCTGAAAAATTTTTTTCGGCCGGATAAAGCTAGAAAGAAAGGCCTGTAGATGCTGATCAAGAATATATATGATTTATGGGGTCGGAAATGGCTCCTTCACTTTCTTTTAAGCTTCTGACTGAAGGTCCATTACCATATTTATACCGAAATTAACAATATTTTTATATGAAATTTTTCCACAAATCAAAATGTAAAAATCTCATAACTCAGCCAAAAACGCATTAATTTCTATTTGGAAAGCGGCAGTATGTTAATTTTTAGCAGGTTAACAAAACTGCGTACTCCATTTAAAATGTGAATTTTTGGCCGATTTTTGCAAATTTTCATGATGTAACCCCTTTCCTTTTTTCCGAAAAATGGAAATTTTCTGAAAAAATTTTTTTCGGCCGGATAAAGCTAGAAAGAAAGGCCTGTAGATGCTGATCAAGAATATATATGATTTATGGGGTCGGAAATGGCTCCTTCACTTTCTTTTAAGCTTCTGACTGAAGGTCCATTACCATTTTTATACCGAAATTAACAATATTTTTATATGAAATTTTTCCACAAATCAAAATGTAAAAATCTCATAACTCAGCCAAAAACGCATTAATTTCTATTTGGAAAGCGGCAGTATGTTAATTTTTAGCAGGTTAACAAAACTGCGTACTCCATTTAAAATGTGAATTTTTGGCCGATTTTTGCAAATTTTCATGATGTAACCCCTTTCCTTTTTTCCGAAAAATGGGAATTTTCTGAAAAAATTTTTTTCGGCCGGATAAAGCTAGAAAGAAAGGCCTGTAGATGCTGATCAAGAATATATATGATTTATGGGGTCGGAAATGGCTCCTTCACTTTCTTTAAGCTTCTGACTGAAGGTCCATTACCATTTTTATACCGAAATTAACAATATTTTTATATGAAATTTTTCGACAAATCAAAATGTAAAAATCTCATAACTCAGCCAAAACGCATTAATTTCAATTCGGAAAGCGGCAGTATGTTAATTTTTAGCAGGTTAACAAAACTGCGTACTCAATTTAAAATGTGAATTTTTGGCCGATTTTTGCAAATTTTCCTTTTTTCCGAAAAATGGGAATTTTCTGAAAAAATTTTTTTCGGCCGGATAAAGCTAGAAAGAAAGGCCTGTAGATGCTGATCAAAAATATATATGATTTATGGGGTCGGAATTGGCTCCTTCACTTTCTTTTAAGCTTCTGACTGAAGGTCCATTACCATTTTTATACCGAAATTAATATTATTTTTATATGAAATTTTTCGACAAATCAAAATGTAAAAATCTCATAACTCAGCCAAAAACGCATTAATTTCCATTCGGAAAGCGGCAGTATGTTAATTTTTAGCAGGTTAACAAAACTGCGTACTCCATTTAAAATGTGAATTTTTGGCCGATTTTTGCAAATTTTCATGATGTAACCCCTTTCCTTTTTTCCGAAAAATGGGAATTTTCTGAAAAAATTTTTTTCGGCCGGATAAAGCTAGAAAGAAAGGCCTGTAGATGCTGATCAAGAATATATATGATTTATGGGGTCGGAATTGGCTCCTTCACTTTCTTTTAAGCTTCTGACTGAAGGTCCATTACCATTTTTATACCGAAATTAACAATATTTTTATATGAAATTTTTCGACAAATCAAAATGTAAAATCTCATAACTCAGCCAAAAACGCATTAATTTCAATTCGGAAAGCGGCAGTATGTTAATTTTTAGCAGGTTAACAAAACTGCGTACTCAATTTAAAATGTGAATTTTTGGCCGATTTTTGCAAATTTTCATGATGTAACCCCTTTCCTTTTTTCCGAAAAATGGGAATTTTCTGAAAAATTTTTTTCGGCCGGATAAAGCTAGAAAGAAAGGCCTGTAGATGCTGATCAAGAATATATATGATTTATGGGGTCGGAAATGGCTCCTTCACTTTCTTTTAAGCTTCTGACTGAAGGTCCATTACCATTTTTATACCGAAATTAACAATATTTTTATATGAAATTTTTCGACAAATCAAAATGTAAAAATCTCATAACTCAGCCAAAAACGCATTAATTTCAATTCGGAAAGCGGCAGTATGTTAATTTTTAGCAGGTTAACAAAACTGCGTACTCAATTTAAAATGTGAATTTTTGGCCGATTTTTGCAAATTTTCATGATGTAACCCCTTTCCTTTTTTCCGAAAAATGGGAATTTTCTGAACAATTTTTTTTCGGCCGGATAAAGCTAGAAAGAAAAGCCTGTAGATGCTGATCAAGAATATATATGATTTATGGGGTCGGAAATGGCTCCTTCACTTTCTTTTAAGCTTCTGACTGAAGGGTCAATACCATTTTTATATGGGAAGTAACAATATTTTATTTTTAAAATTTTACGACAAATCAAAATGTAAAAATCTCATAACTTAGCCAAAAATGTATTAATTTCCATTCGGAAAGCGTTCTATTGTTCATTTTTAGCAGGTTAATAAAACTGCATCCGTTTTAATGGTGAATTTTAAGTCGATTTTTGAAAATATCATATTTATGATTGATTTCTGATACGATCCTATAAACAATTGCAAACTGCAAGGGTACAAAAACTTTGGTTTACCAAAGTTAGTTTCCTCTCTTTTCTTTCTATCTATAACAAAAATAACCTTCCTGTTATTGCCCCGGGGTAAAAAACAAAAGTGAAACCACTTACAAATGTGACTTAATGTCAAAGCCCCAAAAGAGCAAAGCTTCTGACACTTATTGGTTTTTAATTATGGCTTGGCTGCGACATTGACTTTGATTTTCGTTGGGGTCTTTGGCTTGGCCATCGAACTCTTGAGCCTCTCTCTGGGCGATATCTGGTCTCAGCCAGCTGCCTTATGTCACTCGCTGCGGCGGATAAATCTCGGCCAAGAAACCAATTTCCGAAAACCGCCGCCAAATTCCCGTTTGTGACTCATTGCGGTCGAGTCGCTCAGTCGTTTTGGACCTGAAGCGGAGGCTATTATTGCTCAAAGTCTCTCGCTTTGTATATTCACAGAGTACATTTGTGTTAGGGCTTCCCGGTTCTGTGACCTCCTCTCTCTGTTTAGGGGAATCAATAACCGATGATGGTCGCAGTGGTTCCTCCGGCAATTGGTTTCAATTGAGGCAACTTTCACTTGCACGGATTTAATTGCCACACAAACTGGAATGGCTAGCTCCCTGCACCCAGCTCCCCCATCACTCAGACCAACTTACACACAGAGTTCACAGCTCATTCACTCAGTCATCCTCCTCAACGCTGGCTCGCTGACCCAAAACAAACATTTTCAGTTGGTTTTTGTGTACTTCTTTAAGCTAATCATTTTCACGCTTCTTGGCTGAGAATAATTCAAACCTAATTTGCATATCATTTGCTCTGTTTTACCTTCCTTTTCCATCTTCTTTTTATGTTTTATGTTTGCGTTTGCGTTTGCGTTTGCTTATCGTTTACGTTTGCCACGCCTACGCCTACGCCTCTGCCTCTGCCCCTGATAACGCCTGCCCCGCCCCCAGCGAGTATGCAATGGCCAGAGGCAGCAACATGCAGCAAGCTTAGACTGCCCGCGGGCAGCAGCAACACATAACCCCCGTCATATCTACATCTACATCTACATCATCTACATCTTCAACATCAAGTCCAAGTCCAAGAACAAGAACAAGAACAAGACCAGATTAAGATCAAGATCAAGACCTCAACTCAAGAACACTGTCACGCCTCCCTTGCCTCCAGGAGCAGCAGCTGTAACCACTGGGCACCCAGAGCGGAGTCCCAGCCGGAGGAGCAGGAATCTTCCCGCGGCGGAGGAGCAGCCCGGTAGTCTGGAATGTTGGAACACCCCCAGCGGTTTGTGCGCAACATCCCCGACTCCTCAGCCAGCAGCAGCAGCTCGCATCATCAGTATCCGCCACAGCTGCCGCAGCATCAGAATCTGAACCAGAATCAGATCTACCAGTACCGTCCCCAGGTGCCAGTGCCAGGCTCGCCTGCCCACCATCAGCGGCACTCGTCGCTCTCCCAGCAACAGCAACAGCAGCAGCTGCACCACCGCACCCTGTCCACCGCCTCCACGTGCAGTGCCCAGCACAAAAGTGTGACCTTCGGCCAGCCAGCGCTTGACTGCGGCAACGGCAGCGGAAGCGGAAGCGGTAGTGGTAGCGGAAACTCCTCCAGTGGCAGTGCCGCAGGAAACGCTGGAACCCAACCAATGGCGGGCAACATGAAGCACGGTGAGCCACTAGATCCTCGCTTCTTCCCTTGGTCTCCAACGTGATTGATTAATAATCGTTTTCTTTTCCAGGCAAATCTCAGGAAGACGTGTGCTATGTGGTAGCCAAGTATGACTATGCGGCGCAGGGTGCTCAAGAGCTGGATCTGCGCAAGAACGAGCGCTACCTGCTCCTGGACGACTCGAAGCACTGGTGGCGCGTCCAGAATAGCCGCAATCAGTCCGGCTATGTGCCCAGCAACTACGTGAAGAAGGAGAAGCCCTCGCTCTTCGACAGGTGCGTCCTAAGAAAGAGCTCTCTTCCCCCCAAAGAAAAACTAAACCTAAGCGTTCTTCTTGCTCTGATTTCAGCAGAATTAAGTCCTCTATCTGTATCTTAAACTGTATCTGTAGCAGTAGCCGTAGATGTATCTCTATCCGAAAACTCCTTCATATTTGCTTTCGGCTTTCGTATTGTTGTATTTTGTATTTTTTCGAAAACAAAACAAATTATTTTTGCTTTCTTTGTCTGTCGAGCCCCAGCCCCAGCCCCAGCCCCACTAACACTTGAAATAGGGCTAGACTAACCCCACAACCAGAACCATTCCCCACCAGAAATTGTATCGAACTTGAGTTTCTCCTTAAAACTAACATTTAATATCTCTCGGTCTCTCTCTCTTCCTCTCTAAAATATATCTGTCTGGCAGCATTAAGAAGAAGGTGAAAAAGGGTTCTTCAGGATCAAAGACTTTGCCCAATTGCTCGCCGTCGCGCCAAGTCGAGAGTCCAACCATGTCACGGCGCCTGCCACCGGATCCCGCCGATGCCATTGGCACTGCGGTCGTCAAGTACAACTATCAGGCCCAACAACCAGACGAGCTCTCGCTGACCAAGGGCACGCGGATACTCATCCTAGAGAAGTCCAACGATGGCTGGTGGCGCGGACAGAGTGGCAATTCGGTGGGCTGGTTCCCCAGCAACTACACAACGGAGGATTGTGATAACGATGGCGAGATCCATACCTATGCCATGGCCGAGAATGTGCTCGATATTGTGGTAAGTATTCATACTAAAATTCTGGAGAAGATCTAATCTAAGCTGAGTTGGTATTCTAGGTGGCTCTATACAGCTTCACGTCAAACAATGACCAAGAGCTGTCATTCGAGAAGGGCGATCGCTTGGAGATTGTGGATCGGCCCGCCTCCGATCCGGACTGGTACAAAGCTCGCAATAACCAGGGCCAAGTCGGTTTAGTTCCACGCAATTATCTTCAAGAATTGAACGATTACCTGGCCACACCCTATCGCAACACGAGTGCCGGTGGCAGTGCCGGAAATGGTAATGGTGGAGCCAGCAATAACGGAGCTGGAGGAGGCGGCGGTGGCGGTAGCGACTCCATGGAGCGACGCAATGAGGGCAACAACAAGTCGTCGGCCCAATCCTCCTCCGGCCAGCCCATCGAGCGCCCCAACTTGGCGGGCAAGTCATGGTACTACGGAGCAATCACCAGGAGCCAATGCGACACGGTGCTCAATGGCCATGGCCATGATGGCGACTTCCTCATCAGAGATAGTGAGACTAATGTGAGTAGAAAATGGATATTCCATATTGGGGGAGCACCCTTTCTAACATGTTCTCCGGTTTCTCCCTGCAGATGGGCGACTATTCGGTTTCGTTGAAGGCACCCGGACGCAACAAGCACTTCCGGGTGCACGTGGAGCAGAACATGTACTGCATCGGACAGCGCAAGTTCCATTCGCTGGATCAGCTGGTCGATCATTACCAAAGAGCGCCCATTTACACAAACAAGCAGGGCGAGAAGCTGTACTTGGTGCGATCGCTGCCTAAGGCCAATGGAACGTAAGCAGCATCACTAGGATCAGTGCGGAATCTCAGCATCCACAGCAGCATAAACACCCGTATTCAGCAAACACACAAAGATTATACCAAGGCTAACTTGTAGGCAGCAGCTCAGCAGCGCGTAAGCGACGTGTAGTTCAATATAGTTCGGATTCCGATTCAGTTTGGCTTAGTTCGGATTAGATCAGACTCAGACCAGCGTGTGTGTATATAGATCGGTTGGTTCTCGACCCCTCTTTTTGTACTTTTATATCATTAAAAATTAACTAAATTACTAAATTACCGCGCTTACTTATCCGCATTGGCTATGTTAAACGTTAAACGAGTCAAGAATAACCAAGATTCGATGTCAACACGCAATACATTTACATATTTACATATACCATACCATGTGCACATATTATACTATATTCTAAAGCAACGTTTGTAGCGGAGACTAATGTACACAGCAGTTGTAGGAGGAGATCGCTTTTAACCAAAACACATGAGAATATGAAAATATGATATATGATATATGATGTCTATTATCCGTGCGCATACCGTAGGAATACTAGGGATGATAGGAATATATCGATACTGTAACGATTTTTGGTGCAAATTGCCGACATATAGCATTATATTTTAACATCGCGATAAATCTATATCCTGTCTTGAAATATGAGGGAAAAGATAATTACATTGCATATAATTTTTCATATATTTATTGATATTTTATCGTTACATTTCTTCATATTTCAAATTTTCTTATATCCAATTTATGCCATTTTCCATATGATATGGACGCAATACGTTTTTCCAATATACCACCATATCGTACTTTTCCTATCGACATACATCCCTCAGGCGTACCGTACGATCGTAATGAAATCCGCAGACTATGATCTCGCGTATGTACATACACATAGGTGAGAGAGAGACAGTGGCCCCGATCCTGGGCCAGGACACCAGGACACTCAAGCCAAACACAGCCAGAGTGAGGATCGCTCCTAACAGTCATTTTTCGTTATTTAAACATTAATTATCGAGTACGAACACATAACCATGAAAAGCAAAACACAAATTACAAATGATATCTCTGATAATTATAAACATAATCTTAATCGTTTGCTGACGCGGAGGGCGAAGAGCGGCGTATAAGCCATACTTGTACAGTTGAGACAATTGCTAACCTATATAGGCACTCATCTCCTTCATCTCTAGACGTTATTTCCGATGTATCACTTACGATTTAAACGATTAAGCAGCGATTCCAGCTTTAACAAACAACCTGCTATTATTTTGTTTTCCTCTAAGTTTATGTTTATTGTCATTATTATTATTTTGTTTTTATTTTAGTTTTAGGGGAGTAAATTTGGAGAAAACGAAAGCAAGTAAGAGAACGAGTTGAAAAGCGATAGTTAGAGTGGCGGCCAGTTAAAGGACCTCTTCATTTTCATATGCGAATTTTTAAATTATAAATCTATATTATTATACAAGTACGTAAAGCATAAAACTTAAATAAAATAGTAATTCAAGACAATTGCTAAACAACCAACAACTAGTACTAAAGACGAAGAAGAGAACAAACTAGAAATTATACCGAAACGGAAATGAAAATAAAAATACATTCAAATAAATCCATAAAGCAATGTGTACTGTCTTTATTATTCTGGAAATTGGGGACTAGAGCTTAAGTAATGCATTATGGCGCTAATTGTTGTTGAAGTACAAGTAGTAGTAATAGTAGTTGTTGTTGTTGTGGTGGTTGTTTTTGCTGTTGTTGTTGTTGTACACGAGTTGTTGTTGTTGTTGTACAAGAGTTGTTGTTGTTGTACTAGAGTTGTTGTTGTTGTTGTACTAGAGTTGTTGTTGTTGTTGTAGTACAGGAGTTGTTGTTGTAGGCAAAAGCAAGGCTTCGATCTCGTCATTTTCAGTTAAAAATCTTTCATTTCTGGATCTGAAGTACCAGGCGAACAGAAACCGCAGCAAGCAGATTAATTTTAGTGCAAGAGGTGAAAATCAGTGTTGTCACTTTAGCTATATTGTAGCTAAGTCTCAAATCTGGCTAGAAAATAGCTAGTTTGTCACCCTTATTTATCGTTATCGAAACTTATCGATTAATTGCGTGGCGGCAAATAATCGACTATTTAAATTCAAATTCAAATTTCGCCGTTAACGGATATGGCGGATACGTTGTGAATGAATCATTTCCGACCCTATAAACTATATATATTCTTGATCAGCATCAAAAGCCGAATTGATCTAGCCATATCTGGCAAGATAATTTTTTTTTATAATTTTCTATATCGCTTATCGATTTACGACTCGATCATATAAATTAATTGAAAACTACTAAGGTATATAAACTTCGGTTTACCAAAGTTAGTTTCCTTTTTCGTTTTGCATTATTCAACCCCAAAAACCAACAAATGCCATCTGGAAAAGATTACAAGAATTACAAAGGGGTATTATAATAATTATAATAAAATAATAATAATTATGTCATAGGCTTAGCGTTCTTATTTGTTTTATTGAAATTTCGTAGTTTAAATATAACTTTAAGGCTTTGATAATGTTTGTTTGACACGTTAAGTCTAAAAATGGAAAAATTCTTGCTTCTTATCAATGTATACATGTGGAGGAGTCATGGATTCGATTCGGTTCGATGGATGGGTGGGGACTGGGCTTAATGACGGGGCTTACACGGGGCTTACAGCCAAGACAATATCTGTACAGTGTCTATAGTGTCTTCAGCTATCTCTGCAATGCCCGATATCGCACGTACAAGCATGTTTATGTTCATATATATCTTAGCACGCGAATTGCCAGCGATTTTAGCAAATGAAAACAAGAAGCAAATTCATTAGGTACAAAAGCATATATATATAAATATATCCGTATTCTGTATCTGTATCCGTATCTGTGTTATGTTTAGTTTAGTACGTGTTTATAATAGTTTTATAATATATAGTATTACAATCTTATTAAGGCCACACAATTAATAACTGACAAAAGTCTTAATCGCAACAAAAATTGACAAAAAAAAGGGACAGGGACAGATACAGGGACAAGTGGGAGGACAGGCTACAGAGGACAAGCATATTAAACAAATAACATGGAATATACGGGATCGCGAGTTATTTTTCCAACTTTATCCGTCACTTGGACGGATATATTTAGATGGTAGAAGGTGTGTAGTGTGTGGTCGCTTAGTACAAGTAGAAAGAGAGATACATAGTTCTATGGGGGCAACGGGTGTAAATACAAATATCCACATCAGTATCCGTATCCGTAAACGTTAGAGTAGAGTTACCATGTAAAAGAATATATCAACGCCCGCGCGGAGCCTTCGGCGTGTACATATTTAAGCTATGTACACGGAGAGCGAGAATGCTACCCCTCTCCGGCGTCGTGTATTATGTATAATATATATTAACGCTATTGTTCGTAAAATGGACTAATTTCGGTTCGGCTCCGTCCTCTGCCCTTTCCTTTTGTTCGCTGGCTCAGTGCCTGTGCCGGCTCAGTGGCGGTGGCGGATTCTCCCGGCCTGTTGAGTCTCATAAGAATGGATTGTTCGTGTTCATGGCGCCGCTGCTGGCCTGGGAGGGGAAATAGAAATGATAAGTAAGATGTTTAACATCAATCTGGAGTTGACCAGATCCTGCTGGAGGTAATCCACTGACTAATCAGGACATTCCAGTACTTGATTAAATATTTATTGAAGAAAATGATGCCATTTATTTCCAAGACTAGCTTCTATCCTGGATTTGTCAGCAGAGCAGGAGATATCATACTCACTGTGAAGGGATTGTTGACCATCACCGGAGCCGGCTGCATGCTGCCGAAGCCACAGCCATTGGGCAGGCCCTGGGAGAGGGCAAAGCCATTGTTGTTGTTGAAGTTGAAGAAGTTGGCCTGGTGCTGGTGCTGCTGATGGAGCTGCTGCTGTTGCTGTAGGAGATGCCCCATTTGCTGCTGGGGACTGCTGCCGTACGCATTTGGTATGAGAGTCAACTGGCCATAGAGATTCTGCTGCTGCTGCTGTTGGTGCTGGAATGGATTCACCACATGGCTGCTAAGCTGCTGCTGCTGCTGGTTCTTGAAGGGATTTGGATTGTTGTTGAGGGCTGAAAGGATACAATATAATTTGAGGTTTCCTTAAAGGAGATCACTTCATGGACTCACCACTACCAAAGGCATCTGCATGGCCATTGGTGGCCGTGGGCGCCTCTGAGGCACTGGCCTCGCTGGCCTTCAGTTCGCGCAGCTGCTCGTCCAGATCCTTGAGAGCAGCGTACCGATCCTCGCTGGGTGCCATGGCAGTTGTGCTCTTTGGAGGACTTGTCGTCGCATGGCTGCCACCGTTCTGCAAGGGAGCGCCTGCAAGAATTAGTGGGAAATGGAGTTAGATAACTGCTGGCAATGTTTATATTTCGAGGCTTTAAACAAAAATCATCAACCAAAACAAAGCATCAATATAAACACAGAAAAACGAGCCAAAAATGCAAACTGAACTCAAAAACTCAAGGCAAACTCAAGGACGAGGCCGAGGACTTACTCCACGTAAAGAAATCATGGAAATTGGCATTTAAAATATTCGATTCTTGACCATCATCCGCCGCCGCTTGATTTCGATATTGATCTTCGTGGGAGCTGCTCGAAATAGAGCTGAACAACATGTACGAGAAGGAGACAGGTGGCTTCTCTGGAGGATTCTGATGATGCTGCTGCTGTTGCTGCTGCTCCTGGTTCACCAAGTAGGGCAGGAAGGGATTCGAGGGCGAATAAGGCAGTGGCGTAGGCGGCGCTTCTGCTATGCTGGAGGAGCAGGAGCGTGGACTACTAAAGGTGGAATAACTCATTGTCTGCTGCGACTCTTGCTCCTGCTCCCGCTTCCGCTCTCGCTCTCGCTCTTCCTCTATCCGCATTTCCTCTTGCCAAAAGTTCCAGGCCAGTTCCGGTTCCTCTCGGACGGTTGGCAGAGGAACTGCAACGGAAACTGCAGGTGCAGGTGCTGGCGGTGACGGCTCATCGCAATCGTCAAAGGGATCATGGAAGCCGCGCCTGCTCCAGTTGCTGACCCAATCGTGGAACGTTGATGCCGCTGGGAGCAGCCATGGAGAGAGAGGTTAGAGAAAGTGTGGCTACGATTTGTAGAAGTCACGTGGTTTGTGGTGATGTTCGAAGTGGCAGGAGAGCTGTGGAAAGCTACAGGAAGCCGAAAGCCAAGGCCATTGCATTGCTGAGGACTCAAGCAGCGGGTGCGGCAGCAAAAGGAGTGTAGGATGATGTTCATTCTGGCTTACAAAGTATTTTGGGGCAATCTTTTGAAACACTTTCTATGGTATTCATTATGAAAAATGAATAAATTCTATTTCCTTTGTGGAAAGAATGAATAAATAGTTTGAGCTGAACGTACTCTATCGAAAATATAGCTTTACTCTTTAAAATTATACCAAAAATGAATAAATAGAAATCAATTTTTAATTTGCAGTTAATATAGATTAATGATTATCTAGAAATGCTTTTCAAACGAAGGGATTCCAAGGAAAAGAAACTAAATACTTTTGAAGGGGCAGCTGTTTAATGGAGGAGAGTGTCAAGGGATCAAAGGATCCAACCAAGAGTCACACTTACCCACGGCATTGAAGATGGGCGCATGATCAAAGTCCGCAAAGTTCTCCGTGCCCTGATGTCCATTGCCATTAAGGAGCTGCTGCTGCTGCTGTTGCTGCAACTGCTGCTGCTGCTGTTGCTGCAACTGCTGCTGCTGCTGGAGGTGAGCTGCCCTGAGGGGCTGCACCTTGGCATAGCCATTGCTGGAGCCCACCGAGGAGACCGAGGATACGGCCGGCGATCCCGCCGAGCGTGCCGATGTGGCATCGAATATGGTCGCCGATCCAAAGTCCGCCACAAAGTCCGAGTCGGCGCCAAAGCCATTGCTGGCACAGCTGCTGGTGTCGGACAGGGCGCCCGTGGATGTGGATCCAGCGCTGTTGAGGCTGCTCAGTCCTCCGCCACCGCCTCCATTGAGGCCGAAGGCATCGTGATTGTTGTTGTTGCTGCTGTGATTATGATGATGCTGCGGCCTGCTGATCGAGGAGGAGGAGTTGGACGATGTGGAGTTGGCCTTCTGGAGGCCATTGGCTGCTGTGCGCTGGGCCGCCGGCGGTGTCAGATGAATGCTGGCATAGCCATTGTGCTGCTGCTGCTGCTGCTGGTGATGGCCATTCTGGGAGTGACTCTGAGCTGACTTCAGGTTGACGGCATTGGCCAGGGACTTGAGCGGACTGGCCGGCTCCAGGTAGTAGCGCTTTCTCTCATACTTGTCGACCATCAGCTCGCGCTGCTCCTGCTGGTGGGCAGCTCTCTTGGGATCCCACAGGCCCAGCCAGGTCTTGGCGCACAGCTCGTTGCCATGCGTGCGCAGGAAGTCGATCTCGTCCTGTGTGAATGTGGCCATCGATATGGATTTCACTCGATGTGGTGGCGTCAGGCCGCGTCTGCAAAACGACAGGAAGTTGAAATGAAGTTTGCAACTTAATTTGGGGCAAAGTAACCTACAAAGTAATTTCTAGGGAAATTGCTCAAGATTTTACCCCTACTTAACCCTGGTGGTCAGGTGGTGGCTTCAGCTTGACCCACTTGCCACCCCGAATGACCCGTCAAATGGGCGTTCAATTTCAGTTAATTGCGCAAATTAATTGCCTCGGCCTTGGGGGCGCCCTCACCGATGGCAATTGGAGCACTTGGTTGGAGTGGCCAGAATGGCATGGAAAATGAAACCCATAAACACACACACACACACCACACGAGTCGAGTGTGAGGTGCGAGAGTTTTTCCAGCAAATTCGACTCGCAAACGACGGCTAATTTCGGCTTTTCACGAATTTCCCGATACGAAACGAGTCCACGACGAGCAGCAAAGGCAACAACTTGCTAGCAACAACAGCTCCAACTTGGCCACAACATGGCAACAGCAATGGCAACACCAATGATGGCCAAATACGCCCGGCTAGAGGAAGAAGAAGCTGGGGGCCAGAAACTGGACGTTTCACATGAACGCTCCACTGGCTTCAGTTGGTCGCTAGCTCGGCTTGGCATGTCGCTAGTTGGAAGCTGGTTAACTGGTTGCCGGTTCCTACAAAAATACAACAAACTATGGTATAACGAAGAGAAGATACCCTGCAATGCACTGAGCTATCTAAAGAAAAGGATGTACTTCCATTGTTATTATAATTTAATAGGTTATGGATCCAAGGTATCATAATTTATTGCCAGACACTAGCAACCGTATTAACAAGTCTGAATGGTAATCAAGCATTATATAGCTCCAGTATATAAAATGATATGTATATTTTTGGGATTTAGAAGAGTCATTGAGAATCACATATATTTTTACTAATTTTCCACAAGTACATGAAAGTAAGGGGTATCGGGGTAACCGGAGAAGCTGATGTGGCACATGAAGGAGCTGCTGATTGCTGCCTAATGGCATCCGTACCATCTTCTCTGAGCTAAAAGCCGAGCGGAGGTCCTTTGTCTTTGCCATCCTGTCCGTCTCCATCCTCTACCCACTCCTAATTCAATTGTGCTTCCAATCCGAGAGGCTGTGAAATGAACTAGTCCAGAGGGAAAGATGGGGAAGCGGAAGTCTTTGAGTGGCGTACCAGCGAAAAACAATCAACTCTCACCCGGCGTTAAGTGGATCGAAGTGTAGCAGCTAGCTCCACCTCCTCCTGACCCATGACCACCGGAGCGGATCCGAGAGCAGCTGAGGCCGAGGAGGACGACATCCGCCGGCGGCTAAATGATCTGTGAAGCTGCTGCTGCTCTTGCTGCGAGCGGAAACCAGATGCCGCAGCAACAGGAGGTTACTCGACCTTACACACCATCGCTACACAGCCAGAAATGAGTGTGCTTAACCTGCAAAACCCGGGCACAATCTTATCGAAGAGCACTTGAAAAACACTCGAGAAATTACAATTAATCGCAATCTATTGTGTTTTGTTAACCAATAGCTAGTCATTATAATGAGGTTACACTCGAAATGAGAGCTAACTGAGCTCTAACATATGGAAAATGTGCTGATTAGGCATCTTAATTCGTTTCTTTTTACAACTGAAAGACACAAAACCAGTGAACCAAAGGTGGCATTTAAATGCATAGATTTGCTTTCTTAATTTATGGCTGCTGCTGCTCCTAATCCCTCCTCCTTCTTCACAATCCTATTAAAATATCTAGCTGCCTCTGGCCGGATTAAGCCAGTCGCTGATGGTACGTGATGTGTTTTCTTTCCACTCACTCACTCAGTGGCCCAAGTGGATGCAGTTGTCCGAGTGGCCAGAGAGCACGCACAGGCAGTTTGTGAGGGCGTTTCGGGGTGTGGCAAGTGTGTGGGAGGCGAGGGTGTGGATGCAACAGCAGCAGCTGTAAGTGGCAACAAGAAACAACGGCCAAGAGACCGAGGCACTGGCAGTGGCTGTGGCATAGCTATTTTTGAAATCCGCAGCCGCAGAGGCGGAGAAAGTGAAAGTTGTTGCCGGTGGCAGAGAGTGAGAGAGAGAGGAAGGGAGGGAGAGAGAAGTGGTGGCATTAGGAGGCCCCGACCACGCCCACCACTTATGGGTTGCATTTGGAAGCAAAGCTACCGACCGGAGGCACAGGCGGAGGCCGAGGTAATTGACAATCACAGCCATCGTAATGACTGCAAATTTCCATGCAGCTGCCGCCTTTGTTAATGCGATGAAAAACCCAATAAACGAGGGGGAAGTGGGTAAGGGAGCAGGTGCTATCCCCAGCCTTGTTTTTCGAATGAAATTCTGGGAAATAAATCACTTAGAAACAAATTACTCTTACACTGAAGACAAGTAAAAACAAGAAAGGAAGCTAACTTCGGCATGCCGAAGTTTATATACCCTTGCAGATAGAACTTCCATGAATAGGAATCCATACAATATAAATTATATATATTTGTGTTAAAAAACAATGAAGTAATACCTGCTTTCATTTCATTCACCTATACATATTATATTTGCAGTTTTACATCCACAGATTTGCATTTTTCCTCTACATCAAACGATCGTTTGTATGGCACCTATATGATATAATAGTCCGATTTTCATGAAATTTGACACAAAATTTAAGACTAATATAAAATGCCTATACCTAAAATTTGATGAAAATCAGTTGAAAACTGAAAAGGTTATAAATTTAATTGTATTAATTTCTCGATCGTTCCTATGGGAGCTATATGATATATTGGTCCGATTTTCATAAAATTTTACACAAAATTGTAGAGTATAGTAAAATCGCTATATCTTAAATTTGATCCAATTCTATTGAAAACTGAAAAAGTTAAAAATTTTTTTGTAAAAATTTTCCGATCATTCCTATGGCAGCTATATGATATAGTCGTCCGATCCGGCCCGTTCCGACATATATACGAGTGAGAGTATATAGAAGGCTAACTACAAAGTTTCATTCAGATAGCTTCAAAACTGAGAGACTAGTTTGCGTAGAAACGGACAGACGGACAGACGGACAGAAGGACAGACGGACAGACGGACAGACGGACATGGCTAGATCGACTCGGCTGTTGATGCTGATCAAGAATATATATACTTTATATAGTCGGAGGTGCCTCCTTCTCTGCGTTGCAAACTTCTGACTGAAATTATAATACCCTGCAAGGGTATAAAAAAATACAAATCAAAGTTTAAAAAACTCATAACTAAGCTATGCTACTTTTTACTATGGTAATAAAACTGGGCACTCTATTGAAAATGTAAAAAATTTTAAAAATTAGGCAATTTTTGAACATTTCAACCCCTTAGAAAATTTTGAAAAAATTAAATTTTTCTTAAACAAAACTAGATCGATTCGTCTGTTAATTCTGACCAAGAATATAAGGATTTTTAGGGTCGGAAATGACTCCTTCACAGCGTCACAAGTTTCTGACTGAAATTTTAATACCCTAGAGAATAATTACAGATTATATACTGTATTCATATTTGTTCCCTAAAATGTTGAACAAAATAAATAACTCAAAGCACTTCAAATGCAATACATTTTCCACCTCAAATTGTATTCTTTGTTATTTTGTTTTGTGAATATCATCTTAACACCTTGCCTCTGTCCATCCCAATCTCTCGTTTGGCTTCTAATTCTTGAGACCTGATTCCATTTCGCAAATTATTTAAACAGGATGCAAGACATTGTTTTTCTGGGTCTCAGTTGTCAAAAGTCTTGAGTTTCTCAGTGCAAGCTGAAGCTCTCCCCTCTTCCCTGGGCGTTGTGTTCAATATTAGCAAAGCAATGCTAATTGAGAGGCGAACACTCGTCGTACACACTGTACATACTCCGTACACACCCCACACACACACCCATTGTACGTTGTACACTCATCAGTGGAATACACTCTGGGGGAAGGGGGAGGCGGAGGGAGCAATGAGTGCCGGAGAGTGCCTTTGCTAATTGGAAGTCAACAAAAGCAGCAGTGCTGAAAACTGGATTCTGATTCGGAATTGGAAAAACTGTGTCACACCTGGGGTGAGGTCATGGCCTGGGTGCCCAAAAGGGCAAAGGGAAGTCTCTGTGATCTGAGACCTTTTTACTGCTTGACTATGAGTAAGTTCCCCTCTTTTAATTCTGTTTAATTTCTTATCTATTTTCTTGATAATTGAATGCTTTTTGCCAGACTACAGACTTAACTTCAACATTTTTATGGAACTCAAGCGAATCAGCAAGTGACGCAATTCAAAAATTCCTTAGCTCTCATTTCTTCAAAATAAAAACCAGAATTTTTGGTAAATTTCACTTGTTTTAAGATCGTATTCGGTGTGGTAGAAATTATGAGTATATGGATGTTTAACGGGGAGAATCTATCTTTGTAGTAAATTGATATTTTGCATTGAAATATCAGCATATATAATTAAAGAGAATAAATAACATTTTTGGGTAATATCGATTTCTTAATGTTAAACGCGGTAAAATCTTTATTTTATTTTCTAGTTATAGTTTTGCATTTGGCATTTAAAAGACTTAAAATATATTCAATTTGAATCCATATATTCCACTCTCATTGCTACAAATGTGGCCATTAGTTTACACCTTTGAAACACCACATTTTTATAACCTTTTGCAGGGTATTATAGGTTCAGTCAAATGCTTGCACAGTGAAGGAATCATGTCCGACCCTATAAATCATGTATATTCTTGATCAGCATCTAAGCATGTAGTAAAAATAACAAATTTTTGCCAATTTTTTCATAATTTTATAAAGAGTTACATCGTTAAAATTGTAATAATATTTAATTTAATATGCAGATTTATTAACCTAATAAAAACTAGCAAGGAATAGTTTTCCTATTGGAAATTTATGCATTTTTGGGTGAGTTATGAACGATTTAAAATTCGACAATTGATCCAATTTCAAGGGTATATAAACTTTGGCTTCCTTAAGTTAAATACCTTCCTTGTTTTCCATGAAAACCCCATCATAT